CTTCTTCACTATTCCCAACTTTTGCATTCCAGTCACCCATTATTATCAATGCATCTTGATTGCATGTTCGATCTATCTCCGACTGTAAAAGTTGGTAGCAATCATCTATTTCTTCTTCTTTGGCTCTGGTTGTTGGTGCATATATCTGAATGATATATGCAGATATATGCATTCAGATATCAGAGTATAGCTTTTCAAATTTATCAGAATTTAGCTTTGCATAGTATTCTGATATTGTTGATTTAATGTCATCTGGTTCTGTTGTGATGTCACTTCTATAATTTCTTAAATGAGAAAGTGTCTTTTGCCAGTGATTTATTGATTTTATGGACCATTTTTAAAAACCAGCCCCTGGTCTTATTGATGATTTCAATTGTTTTTCTGTTCTCTACCTCATTAATTTCAGCTCTTATGATTATAATTTCCTTTGTTGGATAGGCTGTAGGATTAAATTGTCCTTCTTCTTCTAGTTGGTGAAGGTGTTGATTTAAAGCATTGATCATTTTTCTTTTTTTTTTTTTTAATGTATGTGCCTATTGCTATGAACTGCCTCCTGAGTACTGCCTTAGCTGCATCCCACAGGTTTTAATATGTTATATTTTCATTTTTATTTGTTTCAAGGAACTATTTTTTGTAATTTATTTTATTTTATTATTTTTTGTGTGTGTACCATCAAATCAGATCTGACTGGTACAGGAGGAGATTGCCCCCCCTTCTCCAACAGAGCATCTGGTGGATTCAAACCGCATATCTCTGGGATTGCAGTGCAGCTTCTTGCCACTAGGCCACCAGAGCTCCCCTCAAGGAACTATTATATTTCTTTCTTTATTTCTTTTATAACTCAGTCATGTTCTATCAGAGAGTTATTTTGCTTCCACACAGGTGATTTTATAAGCTTTATCCTTCCTTCGTTAATTTCTAGTTTTATGGAATTGTGGTCTGAGAAGATACTTTGCATTATTTTAGTGTTTTTTAATTTGTTGAGGCTTGCCCTGTGTCTCAATATATGATCAGTTCTGGAGAATGTACCATATGCACTTGAGAAGAAAGTGAATTGAGTTTTAGTTGGTGTAGTACCCTGAATATTTCCACAAGGTCAAGATGGCTGATTGTATGTATAGTTTAGATCTTCTGAATCTTTGTTGCGTTTCTTTTGAGTTCATGTATTTTTTGGTGTTGAAGTCTTTACCATTTTCGTGCTGTCTATTTTTATCTTCAATTGTTAACCATTGTTTTATGTGTTTTTTAGATCTTTCATTTGTTGTATAAGTGTTGACCAAGGTAATGTCTTCTTGATCTTTTTTGCCCTTCCTTATCTTTTATGGTGGTTTTCGTCCTGAAGTCTATTTTATCAGAGATTAGTATTGCTTTTTTTGAGGTTGTCATTTGTTTGGTATTTTTTCCCCCCAGGTTTTTGAGTGTGATTTTGAGTCTGTCTTTCTCTTAATATTTTACATGTGTCTCTTGTAGGCAACATGCTTGTAGGCTATGTTTTTTGTCCATTCAGCTACTCTTAATTGGCACATTTAGTCCATTCACATTTAAGTATTATTCTTTTCAGGCCATGTTTTATTGTTGCCATTTTGCTGTATTTCTTTTTTTGTTGTTTCTGGTTACTATGGTCCAGTTACTTTTCCTTTGATGTCTCTGTGAGAAGCACTGCACTTACAATTTCTTATAGTTATGGTCTTGTTTTGTCAAAATCTTTATGTTTCTTCTTTTCTGCAAAGGATCTAAGTTCTCTTTCATATTTGATGGAGAGCTTTGCTGGAAATAGGATTCTTGGCTGGCAAATTGTTTTCTTTCATCTTTTTGTATATGCCATCCCGTTGTCTTCTAGCATTCATGATTTCTGCTGAGAAATCACAACTTACTATAATTGTTTCCTGTTTGCAGGTAGCTCTTTGTATTTCTTACACTGCTTTTAGTATCCTATCCTTAATTTTTAATTTGGTGAATTTGACTATGATATGTCTTGATATTTTTTTGTTTGAGTTTAGTCTATTTGGTGTTCGCTGTGCTTATTGAATGTGGATTTCCTTATTCTTCAAAACACTTGGGAAGTTTTCTTCCAGTACTTCTTTCACAGTTATCTGACTAACTTCCCTGACACTTCTATGTTCTCGAATTCCAGTCATACGTATCTTGTTCCTTATAATGTCATCCCAAAAGATCCTAATGTATTCTTAATTTTCATTAAGGTTCATCTCTATTTTTTTTTCTAGTATGTTTCCAGTGAGTCTCTTGTCTTCCAGCTCACTGACTCTTTGTTCCATCTCTGTAGTGTAGTTCTAGTTTTTTGTCCTACCAGCATGTTGGTTGCTTCTGCCAGTTTGATCTCAATATTCTGGATTACACTTAATGATTTTCTGTTCTTTCTATTACTGTGTTGTCTGTACCCTCTTTATCTTGTCATGATTTTTTTAAGTTCTTGTACCTCTTTATGACTACTATCAGTTCTTTCTTCCGTCTTTTGCTTAGTCTCTTTTTCTAACTGTTCAAGTTGGTCCTCATCAATACATTTCTTCTGGATTACTGTCTCTGGGTTATTTGCCCTCTTAATGGCTTCCATTGTTTCTTCCATCATTTGCAGCTTCTTCAGTAGATGTTGAAATAAATCAATGCCAACACAGTTCTTCTGATTTTCTCTATCTGGGGTATTCATTGGGTCTCCTTTTTTTTAAGGGAAGTGTTATTTTTTCCATAATGACTGAGGCAAACTATTGCTTTCTTGACGTTATGTTAATCTTAATTGATGTTAGGTTGTTGCAACTATATGGTGACCCAGAATATGACAATGTTTTGTGAAGGACCTGTATATTTTTTCTCCCTTCTTAACCTAAAGTACCTGAATGGCGGAACAGAGAAATCAATTGCCTTCCACAACACTGCTTGGCCCGGCCTGGCTGTGGTTTCTTCCATTTGAGCTTAAGGAATTCCAAGTGATGTAGCTATACAGCAGTGTTTAACCAAAAATCTGAATAGAAGAACAGGAAAATCTGTTGCCTTCCAGAAACTGTGGCTTTTTCTGCACTTCCCTCTTCTGCTTGAGCTTAAAGAATCCTTTGTGATATAGCTAGATAGCAATGTTTAACTCAAAGTGCCTGAATGGCAGACTGGGAGCAGGGAAATCTGTTGCCTTCCAGAATTTATATTCTTACCCTTTACACTGTAGATTAAATATTTATTGCAACATCCTATTTGTGCATTTGTTTTGTTTTGTACATTTAATTTTTTTTTATTTATTTTGGTTTTCAGCTCGTTTTTAGTTTCACAAAGCGCATCCAGACCAAAATTAAAGATCTGGTCCAGCAAATGGAAGAGGGATTGAAGACAGCTGATCCACATGACTGCTCTGCATATACTGGTTGGACAGGTGAGAATGTGGGGTATAAGAAACCATATAGTGTCTTCTTGGGCTATCAGATTAAGGCTTGAGTTAAGACTTCTTTTAAAACTTTCTTTCAAAATAATAAACTATGCCTATTTAATAAGACTTTGGGATACATTTTAACTGATGAACTGCTTTTTAATTATGTCTCTAAAGAAATGCATGCTGCATGAAATTTGTCTTTAATATGCAATATTATATATGTGGCAATTTGTAGCTGATAGTAAGGAAACAGTAGACAGGGCTTTGTGGAAATAAGACTTATATATGACCACTCTTACATATAGTTTAAGTATTATGTTTTAAACAATTGTTTCCAAAGAAAACCAGTAAATAAGAGTATTATTCAGATTTGTGTACCAACCACTAATGCTAAACATGAAGAAATTGAAGATTGTTTCCCAGTTATGTAGTCTGAAATTGAGTAAACATTTGACCAGGCTGCATTATTAATTGCTGGTGATTGCAAAAGTTAGAAACAGAGAAGGCCTGGGTAGTTAGAAAATATGGCCTTGCTAGTAAAAAAGATATGATAGAATTTGGAATTCTGGAAACTTAGTTATTGCAAAAACTAACACAAATGGTTATTAGACATATAGCTCTTCCTGGATGGAATACTCAGGAATACATCTCAACATTGAACTGCTAGAAATTCAAGCTGAATTCAGAAGAGGATATGGAATGAAGGGCACCATTGCTGATGTTCAGTGGATCGTGGCTAAAAGTAGAAATTATAAAAAAGATGTTTGCTTACATTTTCTTATGACACAAAGACATTTGACTGTGTAGGTTACATAAAATTTTTGGATGACATTGGAAACAATGGCAATTCTAGCACTTAATCATGTTCCTGAAGAATCAGTACATAGATTAAGAAGCAGCATTTTGAACAGAACAAGAGAATATTTATTACCTGCCTTAAAATTGGGAAAGATATGGATCAGGGTTATATTTTTTCACTATACATAGTCACTGTACCGAAAGGAATTGGCAGACACAGAAGAATTTCATGAAACAACGTATAAAAAAGAGCCTATGGTGATGAAGGAAGAAGTTCAATTTGCTTTGAAGGAAATAGCAAAAAATAAGGCCCTAGGAATAGATGGTATAGCAATTGACATATTTCAACTAACAGATGCTGCCCTGGATGTACTCACCAAGTTGTGCCAAGAAATCTGGAGAACAAGCACTTGGCCAACTGACTGGAAGAGATCTGTATTTGTTCCCATTCCAAACAAAGGTTGACCCAACAGAGTGTTGCAGTTATTGAACAATATCATTGATATCACACGCAAGCAATATTGTGCTAAGATTATCCAAAAAACAACTGGAGCAACACATCAACAGAGAACTGCCAGAAGTCCAGGCTGGGTTTAGAAGGAGTTGTGGTACTAGGGATATTGTACCTAATGTTAGATGGATCTTGGCTGAAAACAGAGAGTATCAGAGGAATGTCTATCCGTGTTTCATTTATAATGCAAAGGTGTTTGACTGTGTGGATCACAACAAACTGTGGCTAATTCTGAGAGGAATGGAAATTCCAGAACACTTGATTGTGCTAATGCGAAACCTCTATTTGGTCTAGGAGGCAGTTGTCAGAACAGAACAAGGAAACACTGCATGGTTCAAATTGGGAAGGGTGTATGCCAGGGATGTGTCTTGTCTCCATTCCTTTTCAACCTATATGCAGAATAGATTATCTGGGAGGCTGGTCTCTATGAGAAGAAGTGGGGCATCAGAATTGGTGGAAGATTCATCAAAATTCTGCATTATGCACATGACACAATCATGCTTGCTGAAACTGAAGAGGACCTGGTCAAGGATTACCACCTTCACTATGGATTGAGGCTCAATATCAAGAAGACAAAGATTCTCACCACTGGGCTGATTGGCAGCATCAGGATGGATGGTGAAGAGATTGAGATTGTTCACAGCTTCAGTTTGCTTGGCTCCACAGTCAACAGTCTTGG